ATTCAATTTTGGCTTCTTTGATTGAGCTTTTAGGTGTTCAGTTCTATACCTATAGCTTTTCTTATGCTGCTCAAGTTAATAGTTCTTTTAGTTAGAAATTTTAGAATTGCTGACTCGATTAAGTTTATTCTGAAAATTTGCAGAAGAAAATAAATGTATGTAATATATGACTATTTAAGTAGGTGTGGATCATTTTATGTGATACGAATGTGCAAAGTGCATCCAATAAATAAGCTTTTTCCAAAAGCATTGTGACTACTTTCCTCTCATTAAGGTGAGGGTAGTATCCCTTACACTTTACATTTTGAACGTAGGCAAAAACCCCTGAACAGGCAAAAGATTTAAAATGAATGCATTTAACCCCTTTTTTTTATCTGAATGGGCATGGGGAGTCTGTCACAATGTTGGATGGCGAGTTTGAAAATCAGAAAGGACGATTCAGGAGTCATACCCACCAAGAATCAACTTTGCGATCCAGTCTTCAGATGAAGGCGGGGAAAGGGAAGGGAGACGGGGGTTGCAGGCTTGGGGTGAGGTGGTCAGAGTCCAAGAGGGAGCGCGCTGTGCTCGGCCCTACCTGGTGTCCCTTGACTTTGATGAGCTCCTTGGTCCTATCGACGATGTGGAAGTAGCACTCGTCATCGTAGTAGGCCACGTCACCCGTGTGGAGCCAGCCCTCAGTGTCCAGCACCTCCCGCGTCGCCTCCTCGTTGTTGTAGTACCCCGTCATGACCTGCGGGAATGGAGAGGGCAGATTAGGGAACCGTCCGGGAACCGTAGCACCCAGGAAAATGGAGACGTGGTATTGCGGAAAATGCCAGCGACCCTAAGGTTGACCTGGACGCTTCTCTTACCTGGGGTCCCTTGACGAGGAGCTCGCCCCGCTGTCCGGGACCGACGTGCTCCCCGCTGCTGAGGTCGACGACGCGGGCTCTGGTGCCCGGCAGCAGCTGCCCGACGGACCCCCTCCTCTCCAGAGGCGTGTGTCGGCTACACAAGACTGTCACCGGGGAGGTCTCCGTCATGCCGTAACCTGGGCGTGCACAAGAACAGACATACGAAAGTTAGCACACGGACACGTGTAAGATCATCTCTCTCCGACCGCCTCGAGTGTTTCACCTTGTCGCAAGTCGATCTCGCGACCCGCCTTGTCGTTGAGGCGCTTGAGCACGTCGAGGCCGAGCGGAGCCGCGCCGCAGATGACGTAGCGGATGCTGTCCAGGTGCTCGGGCTTGACGGCGGGGTGCATGGCGAGGAACTGGATGACTGCGGGCACGGCGCCCAGACCCGAGGGCCTGAACCGGAGCAGGGCGCCGATGTAGTCCTCTGGGGTGAACTTGGGCAGCGTGATGAGGTGCTGGCCGCTGAGGATGGTCGTGTGGAGCACCGTGTTGAAGCCAAAGATGTGGAAGAAGGGAAGCACGCTCAGGATCGAGTCCTGCACGTCGGCCCGGGTGTAGCGCGCGAAGCGGAAGTCGGGGGTCATGCACATGGCCAGGTTGCTGACGAGCTGGCCGTGGGACAGCATCACACCCTTGGGCATGCCCGTCGTGCCCGACGAGAAGGGCAGGATGGCGATGTCGTCGCTGTGGTTACGCGGCAGGGACACGCCCTCCGTGTCCAAGCCCTCGGCGGCCAGCGCCTGGAAGCTGAACTCCCCCGCGGCCTGCTCTGAGGGCAGCTGGTCCAGCAGGACGGTGCCCTTGTACTGGGGCAGGGACTGCGCCACGGCCCGGACGAGCGGCAGCAGGGCGGGGATGGTGGCGACCAGGCGCGCGTTGCATATCTTGAGCTGGCGGGCGGTCTCCTCTGGAAAAAGAAAACCATTGTGGTAAGTGAAAATTAAATGTTTGCTCGCCGCGACCCGTCCTGCGGGTGAAGGCAACCAACTCACCCGGCGTGTAGAGTGGGTTGACGAACGTGACGGTGAGCCCCGCCTCGATGGCGCCGTGCGCCGCGAACACGAACTCGGGGGTGTTGGGCGCCACGAGCGCCACCACGTCGCCCTTGGCCAGGGCGGGGCCCTGGGCGGCCAGGCCGCCGACGTCGCCGGCGAGGGCGCGGGCGAAGCCATGGGTGAGCCGCCGCGCCTCCCTGTACGAGTAGCTGCTGCTGGAGGCCGCGCAGGTCTGGAGGGTCAAAAGAGCACAGAAACGTCATTGTTGAGGGACAGGTGGCACAGTGAATAGATTCTAATCTCGCGAATAATTTCTTTTTGTTGGCGGTGATGCGGAGCCGGGCGCAGGGACGCTCCATGTTGCAAGGGTTACCCCCCCCCCTCCCTGTACGGATGCCGTGGTGGTGGCAGTGACAGTGCACGGCGATGAGCGGTTCAAAGGTCCCCGACCCCGACCCGTGGCCGTGCGTGTGTGCGGAGGCGCGCGCGCTCCCCTTCGTGGACGTGAGCTGCGCATTTGCGAATCCCCGCTGTACGCCGCCCGGGGCGTTCTCGGGTCCGCCCCCGCCGCCCCGCGACCTTCTGATAATATGTTTGTATTCCGGAATGATTAGAAGAGATTAAAACAACAGGAATAATCAAAGCGTCCGGGCCGCCCGGTCTGCGCGGATAAGGTTCATTGCCCCAGGCTGTAGTGCACTATTTTTTGCCCCCCCCCCC